GGTGTGTGGGGTGTGTGTGGGGTGTCTGGGGGTGCTTGTGTATGGTGTGTGTGTGTGTGTGTGTATGTTCAGGAGTGATGAGCTATGCCGCCCGTGGCCCCCCAACCCCTATATATAAAAAAAAAATAATAATAATAAATAAAATAAAAATGTTCAGGCTCGGTCCATGTTCAGGCTCGGTACCGAGCGTTCGGGTTCGGTCACCCAGCCCGAGCGCGATGCTACGTAGGGTGTGATTGAGCAAATTGCAAAAGTCAAAATTTTCGAGTTTTTTTTTTGCCCTTGTTCCTTCTTGGATGAAAGTGCCCCGGCTCGGCAAAACTCGGTGTGCAGTGAAAATCAGGCTCAGCAAAAACAGGGTCGGAGGTAGTGGCGGTTTAAAGAATTCTTTCATTACATACCTAGCGTGCCAGGATTGGAAGCTGGGTCTGTATTTCAACAGTTCATTCATGGGTGTACCAACTGAACTACTAGGCTCACTGGTAAAATTGCCTAGTTTTGGCCCGGCCTTTTTTTTTGTTTGTTTATCTTTTTGTTTATCTTTTTTTTGACCTTTTTTTTTGTGTTGTTAAGGTCCTCTAACAGTTGAGGTCCTCTAACAGTGTTCGAATCATAAGGAGAGCATGCAATTTAAAGTGGTCAAATTCCCGAAGGCGCTTTCAAAAGCCGAAGAAGAAAGGGCTCGACTTTACAAGGATTTTGGGCGATGAAAAGCTTGGCCTTCAGGTAACCTCCTCCCTTCACCTGTACGCACTGGACTTAAATGTGAGCACCGGACGCAAGACTCAAGACCCGTTTATTGGATGGACCCAAGCCTTCAGGTACCTTGAGGCTTGAGGCCTGAGTCCTGTACTCAAGGCACTCACAGCCCAACAGGTCAGCTGTCAGGTCCGATTTATTTATTTATTTATTTTGGTCAGGTCCGAGATTGAGTTGCGAGATTGCGAAATTTGACTTAGCCTCATTAGTCGTTACGCCTGTGGAAACGTTTTTTCCTTTTTCGCTTTGTTTTTCTATTTTCCTGTTTTTGCGCCTCTGGAAACTTGCTATTGCACTGGCAAAAAATTTGTAGGCCAAGGATGCGAAAAAAAAGAGAAAGAAAGAAAAAGTCAAACGCTGTGAAACGTGTTCTACTAAGCTCCTAAAAAATGTGTTTTTCGTAACTTCCCCCTCGTGGTTACTCTCCGTAGACGAGATATCATGATGAATACCGGCCAGCCACCGCCGTAATGCATTCGTGAAAATTTCATGGGATGTGCAGAGGAAGGAACACCGAGCGGCGAGCGCATGTGCCGAAAGTCGTAGCTCTATGATCCCGATGTGGCAGCTGACAGCTGATAGACGCTGAGGTAGTGGAGAGAGTAGCGTGCAGCTGCGAACGCCCAAGGAAGAGGAGATGCTCTTTTGTTGACGAACTTGAGCACAGAGACCAGGCAGATAGACAGGCAAGGGCATATACAGGCAAAGATCAACACAGACTCTCTCTCTCTCTCTCTCTCTCTCTCTCTCTCTCTCTCTCTCTCTCTCCACACACACACACACACACACACACACACACTCTCTCTCTCTCTCTCTCTCTCTCTCTCTGTGTGTGTGTGTGTGTGTGTGTGTGTGTGTGTGTGTGTGTGTGTGTGTG